TGAATCCAAACAGTACAAGTTTTATTGTGTATATTAGGAGATGGAATCTACACAAACTTTCATATACTATACAGCACTATTATACATCTAAATGATGCACTATACAACTAACATATGTTCTACATATTTCATCTATATTCTGCACAATGAGGATTTATAATATGAGATGAAGACTACATATAACACTTGAGTAATCTAAACAGTTCTATGGTATGCCTAACTGATATACTATGTGCCTAACATGTTTCATATATTTCATCAGTGTTCTGCACACTGAGGTGTTTCACAGCCAAGTAATCTGAAAGTTAAGTGACCTTTCCAAAGTACCACATAATACTGGCAGTGAAGAACTCTGCAAAACATTTAAAGCGATTTGTCAACATGGAGACTCATAGTTTAACATCAACTGATTGAATACATTTTTAATTAGCATGTATTGTGTCTGGCATCAAAAGAAAACATTTGTCTTCCTTGTTTACAGCAATCTGAATGGTAGCAGAGCTTCATCATCATTACCAAGGTTTGGCATATCAATTGGATTCTACACAATACCTTATGTTTACCCGTGTCTTGAAGATGACGTGAAAATTTATATGAACTCTTCTGGCTCTATTTGTTATCAGAGTCTGGCATTAAGGTAGATGAATATATTTATGACATGATTTTAGGTACATTAGTGATATCATGGTTAATGGTATATCTGTACTGCACTTATGGTTGGACTAGTGGTGAGACAGTTACAGTACTGTGTGAGGTTCGCTGGACTGGAATGGTAACATTTGGTTTCCATTAACGGTTACAACAGGAGGGATGTGGTTACCTAAATTACAGTATGTTATACACGTTTTGGCATAGCACATTCACCAATGAGAATAACATGATCTAGGATGCGCTCGAAAGAATGGAAGTCAAGTTTTACTACTGTGTCTAGCATAGTGATCGTGTTAATGGAAAAGGCAACACTAAAGAATAGCTAGAGTATTTACTATCTGGTTATGATCATTTAGTGTTACTTGCTACTTTGGAGTTTCATCAACTGGGATAATTAAAGATCAGGTATTCATACCTTCCAGAGAAGCTAAACTGAGATAGAGCAAATGTTACATGAAGGGAACTGCCTGTAAATCCTGTATTTATCTAGATAGATTAGCTATCTCTATACTGGCTAGTTTGACTTTGTTCTCCATCAGAGAAAAACAAGTCTGATAATGGAAAAGAAATTATCTTTGGCCTAACTAATTATCATATGTCATCTGCATTCTCCTACCCTCCAACTGTGATAGTATTGTTATTAAAAGAAAAAAATACCAACTTTCAAATTCCATGATCCTATGTATACAGAGAAAAGTTGAATTTTGGATATTTTTAATTAAAAAAAAGCAGTCTTTCCAAGTTTAAAAAAGTTTGGAGTCACAATCTCCTACAACTTTCAATCAGACAAAACATTAAAAAAAGAAATTATTTTAAAAAATTTAATTTTCTTTGAAATCTTAAGACAAGTAGAAATCTATGAAATCTAAATGATTATTTCCCTGCATAAAAAATAAACATCAAACCATGTACAGCAAACACATATACACTTCAAACAAAGGAAGAAATAAGTAAAGTAAAGTAAAGTAAAAAAACTTACAAAGGAAGAAAGTCAAAGAAATCTATACATACACAGACATATGCATTCACTTCCTCTTAAGCTCCAGTGTTTCTCGCAACACTTAGTTTTCCCTTCATTCTTAAAGACTCCTTCCTTACAAATCTATAGGAAGCATTCATTATTCAGTTACTTCCTTTGGTAAATCTTAGAAGTAGACTGTTTTACCAACATACTACATGTCCCTAAGTACAGTATGCTGCTTGCGTGTATCTAAACAAGAACACTGACAATCCTATATCACAAAATCAAAGATGGATGTCATTGGTATGGACAAGTTGACAAATATATGTCATACAATTCTTTCCTAAGTGCTTTTAATTTTAATCTATCGAGATCTTGGCAATTGTAATAACCCTGTTCTAGCTAATTTCATCCCCCATTACAAAAATTTTGTAAAAATATAATTAACAATGTGTGTCTTAAAATCTAAAATAAAAATATTCAAGGAAGGAACATATGTAATTTCCAATATACATTACTCTTAATTACAAGAAAAATATCTGTAATAGAAGTAGAATATCATATTCTACAGAAATTAGGTTAACATCCCTTAGAAGATTATAACTTGCAACCAACCTCATACTTCTAACAATATCTATTGACTTAAAGAGTATAACAAATTCTTTAGAAATGGCCATCTTAATTGTTTTATCAAGCAATTTACTCCTATCATCAACTCTGCTTGTCATACAACAAAGAGTCTTATCGTTAATGATCAATCATCAGATTATCTGCCTACAGCTCTGCTTGTTCGCCATTAAGGTTTCTGATACAGTTGGGACATGGTGTTCATGGCAGTGGTCTAAGTGGCAAGTGACAAGATTTGAGGTAGCAGCTAATGTACAGAGAAAATGCAGTCCATAAGGCAATTACTTTTGTAGGCTTGTGCTTGAATAATGGTGAGCAATGAATTTAATGCTTTGTGCTACCTTGAACAAGTAATATTTGTTGGTATATACGAAGTACACTACACAAAATATGAAAATCCCACACCTCAAAAAGAATAAGTAGACAAAGAAACAAAAGTGTAAGACAAGTATACTGCGGCTACCCAAAGACTTACTGATCTGCTGTGACAATGTTGCATATTCAAATACTGTACTTATTGTGTGATTTTGCTCTTGTGGAAATTATTCTGAAATAACTGATTATACAGGAGTGCTTATGGTATAAAGGAGCACATTTCCACAGAATGTTTGACCTGAAAATGATCTATATCCACGACAATTTTATTCTTATCTATGCCTCTGCCAACCTACCTATCTATCTTTCTGTCTATATATATATATATTTAAAGATAGATGAACAGACAGGAATGTTTAGATACATAGACAGACATACAGACACAGAGAGTAACAGATAGGCAGACAAAAAGACAAATTTATAGATATATACATCATCACAGATAGATAGTAAGGATACACACAGAAATGTAGACAGGCAGACTGACAAAAATGACCATACACAAACAGAAATATGAGCAGGAGGAATAAAGGCAGGAAAGTACCCAGAGAGGTGGAGGTAATGGCATTAAACATCACACCAATGTCATCTAACAACTTAAGTACCATATCTAGTTCTGATCCCTAAGACACCTATACTCTGAGACCCCTGTACTGGGCTAGTCCCCAATCAGTTTTGGCTTGAAAATGATCAGAAACATGAGTAAAGACTCTTTTGTTTCTTATCCTTTTAGTTTGTTAGTTCAAGAAGAGAGACAAAAGTTGTCCTAAATGGGTCACAACATGGAAGATTAACATGGAAGATAGCAACAACCAATCTCTACAATAATTAACACCCATTATAAAAAGGTCAGCAATGCACCTCTGCATGGTGTTTTTTCCAGTCTTGAATGAGCTTTTGCCCATTTGCTGTGCTTGTAAGTAATAACATTTTAACCCTTTCACAACGGGTGATGCCGACAGGCATGAAAACAAACCGCTCAAAATGTGGTGTGCGGCTGTACACCGCCACCAGTGAGCTGGTGATTCGATCTGGTGTACCGTACACAAAGTCAGCGCGCTTTGACAGCAAGTTTTTTTTTTAGTTTTCTTCACCCGTCACCATTGGGTTAAGTAAAAAATAAAAATAAAAAATTAATAAAAAACATTCAAGGTAAATATTTAACCAAACATCTTTTACCATAATAACTGCATATCATCATCTTGCATTATAGATTCCTACTGCCATAAAAAATCCATAGCGAGCTCTAGACAAAGAACCCCCAATGTCTGGTCTCCTTGTTCCCAAGATAGTACACAGCTCTGTCCACTTGGGTGATAATCCCTACCTTCATTTACAGCTCCCAAGGTTGAGAAGTGCAGAGAAACCATGGCTTGAGGGATTTCATGCTGATCTCATTTAATCAATTTATCTTTCAGTACTCTGACTGGCGATGATTTTATTATCTCTTGTGAAAAATAAAAATCCAAAGCGGTGGTTGTTGCTTACACATACACGAAAAACTGGATACTACAAATGCAATATATATCCACAGAAATCATATTGCTAAAAAAAAAGATGGAATTCTTTACTAGTCTAAGATACTTTCTCAATATACCACCATGCCACATCTAATGCCCCCTAAATGAGGTGTGGTATTTTCACATCATCAAATCACGTGCACCTACTTTTGCATCATGGTCTTTCCCTCCTTAATTGCTAATAATCATCATAATCAGAGCAAAACTGCATTTGTGATAACATTTCTCTTTCACCTTTCGTTTAATATAGAAACTGGCATAAAGTTTTACGATCTTCTAAGGTACCTGAATTATGTTGCAGTTGGTACTAGCTATCAAATACTACATTATTGGAGAGTATATGCTGCATCTTGGTGGTATGTCCTCTGTGTTGATGCAATGGAGGAGCTGATGCCAGTAAAAATATACTAAGAGATAAAATGAATAGTAAATGGATACACATTAAATAGTACACTTAACTACAAACATGATGTAACAAAATATATATATATATATATGCATGTAGATTCTGATCATGCTTTCAGGGTAACCAAGTGAGATTTCAAATATCATATTGTAACCCATAATTTATATGAATATACATACACAAGATAGCAATACATATGTAAAAAATAAATATATATCTATATCACGGAAACAATATGTATAAAAAAATATCTTCATCATGGAACAATGGAAATCATACAAGGTAAATAAAATGCAAAATTTATTGGCTTAGGACCTCCACCTTATGTTGGTAGGTTATCAAATGAGAACATAACTGACAACAGTTACCTTTACTTGATTTCCATTGTGGTTATCTGTGGCAGGAGAGGCAAATACTGGTTAAAGCTGGAGATTACTTGCAACTGGATTAAAAGTCAGGAAATCTGAAACGGTCTTTAATGGATGGCTTTGTACTAAACATCTAATGTCTCTTTTTACTATGTACTATCTTCACTAAAACAACAGTATGTTTTGTTTTACTTATTTTGCAAGGAAAACTGGATCACAGATTGTTACTTTACCCTCAAGCCCAATGCCATTTTAACTCTATACAGCAAACAATCATGCCACTATTCTAAACCATGCATTTTAATCTAACGTCTGATGCAAGTATTGAAGTAACATATCAGTTATCTATATCATGTTTTCATTTATCCTTTAATACAATTGTTTTACCTCTTCCTCTCCTTCCTTTTATTTTTTCCAACATCGGCACACTTAGCCGTTGATTTCTCCTTTGCTTCCTCTTGTGTACGATTTTGAATCCCTTCTTGTCACGTCATTCTCCGAACCGTACGTTTCCTTTGTATTTTTTGTGCCGGTGAACTTTTCCAGACACTTGTCCAGACGTTGGATAAAGAGATCCACATCCTCTTCTGTCATGCCAATACTTGCAGCAGCAGTCAGGTATGCGTATGGATAACTTTTTGAATGACTGCCCCAACCTAGAAATAATTAAATTCATATAATTTTTTCAAAAAGTGGATAAAGGATAAAATGAGGTACAGTAGAGCAAAAAAAGAAAGCATTAAAGAGATCTCTGCACATGCTGTCTTTAATCCTAAATATCAGAGCCACCTCAATCTGGCATTAAACAAGCTTCCCCCTTATAGATAAGATGTTTTTATAGACTATGTGCCTCTCTATTTTTGTGTGAATGGAATGTAGTGAGGCAATCAGTATATCTGGTACTGATTGATATCCTTCTGCCAGCCTCACGACAAGAGCAAGTTATTCCCACACTGCTATCCCTATACATACTATATACTATACTACCCCACTAGACCTCATGTGTGATAGGTTTGTTTTTTTTTTCTCCCACCAAACCACCCTTCAGGCAATCAGAGACCATTCCATTTCACCACTGACAAATTTTCCAATCCTCAATATTCTACAATGTCGCCATATTCTGCAACTTCACAATCTGTAGTAACTTCTAAACCTGTCATTTGCTGGAAAATAAAGCGTCCATACATCTAGTGGCTATCCCTGTCAAGTGAAAAATATTGTTCGACTCCCAGACTTTTTCAATTATTGCTCTCTAACTTTGTCTCCTCATGAATATGACAGAATACATATATCCTCATCAACTCATTAAAGCTTCACTGACCTACCTCCAGACTTCTCTAATAACTAGGGATCTACAAATCAAATTCACAAATATAACAGATAAGAGATGTAATTAAATATTAATCTAATGAACAAAGTGAATGCATTTCACATAACTTTAAACTATCAAGTAAAAACTATGAATTTGGAACACAAGTCATTTTTTTCTCCATTTGTCTACCTACTTCTTTTTCTTTTCCTTCAGCTCACCTTCTCTTTACTCTATTCAGTTTCAAGACTTTTCTCTAAAGATACTCTCTTCTAAGCTAAACCTGGGAAAAACTTACCGATAAACCTCGTGCCAGCAATCATTTTGTCATCCGATGTTCTAATGACTCTTGTCCCTGACACACCTCGGAGGAACAGTCTTGATCCAAGCTCAGTTAGTGGTATGTTCAGATTTTCAGGCAGAGTCATAGCTGTGGGAAGCAACTCTTAGTAATACAGTGAAATAAAATAAGTATATAGATCTATTAAATCCAAGGCTGCATTGGCTGCAAATATATCAAAGAATAGTGAGATATCTATGGCATAGTAACAATTTTCATAAGCGACAAAACCTTCTTTTGTAATAGTAGATACCCTTCACTCACCAATAGAAATAGGATTATTTTTGGTATTTAGAACTCTAAGACCATATTTCTCTGCTACTCCCTCCATTCGCTGAGTTAGGAGACTCTTCAGTGCCTTTCTCTCTTCCAGTAATTTCTTGTGACCTCTGATACCCATGGAGAGCAATGTAATGAACAGGTCCACCACAGGGCTGCCTGACGCTCGTCCTAAAATAAAGGATGAGAGTAATGAGTGAAATATTAACTACTCATAGACAAACAGAATATGTATGATGCTACAGAAAAGAACTTTTTTTAAGGATGATTGCTTACCAGGGTACATTTTGCCCACTTGCTGGATGAAAGCACTATCAAATCCTGCAATGACAGCTCCCCCAACTGGAACCATGAAGTTCTTGTCCGTGCTCTGCACAAAGGCATCCACACGACCTACCCTGTAGACACCAATATTTGTTTTACATTGCCTGTAGTGTTAACAGAGATAGTCATATGAGGCAAAAAAATTTTTTAGCAATAGATGTTCTTTGTACTGTTAAGAAAACTGACCCTTATATGTTTGCATACTATGTACTTCCAAGCAAAATCAACCACAAAATTTTACTGGCAAACCAATTACATCCAAAAGAAAACCTATACCTGTAGCTATTAACTGCAAGTGCCTAAAATCAAACATAAGGATTGTTTATGGTGTGCATTATTT